AACCTGCAACAGCAAGGCCATTCTGCCAAAGTCCAGAATCTCATAATACATTAGCCAGCGTTCATTAACAGCAAGTGACAGAAACCCCAGATCGGCCTGAGCAACAGAGGAGAATGTCTTGCTCACAGACCTAAAAATTCCAGGATTGTAGATTTGGCCTCAGGGATGGTGGGATCCTGGTGCTCAGATGGTCTCTCAGGAAGCTGTTTCATCACTTAGCCTTACACCCCTCTAGTCCAGTGGTTCCCAAACTTGGACGTGCATCAGAATTACTTGCAAAGCCAATCAAAACACAGATTGTGGGCCAGGCGTGGTGGCTCACACCTGTAATCCTAGCACCTTGGGAGGCCAAGGCAGGAGGCTCATTTGAGCCCAAGAGTTCGAGACTAGCATAGGCAGTATAGTGAGACCTTGTCTCTATTTCTTTATTAAATAAAATAATAATTAAAATAATCAGATTGCCCGGGTGCAGTTGCTCACACCTATAATCCCAGCCCTTTGGGAGGCTGAGGAGGGTGGATCACCTAAGGTCAGGAGTTCAAGACCAGCCTGACCAATATGGTGAAATCCCTTCTCTACTAAATATACAAAAATTAGCTGGGCGCCTGTAGTCCAAGCTACTCGGGGAGCTGAGGCAGGAGAATTGTTTGAACCCGGGAGGTGGAGGTTGCAGTGAACTGAGATAGCACCATTGCACTCCAGCCTGGCAACAGAGCGAGACTGTATCTCAGAAAATAAATAAATAATCATATTGTGGGACCCCAGTCCCAGAATTCTGCTTCAGTGTGTCTGAGGTGGAGGTACGTGTTTTAATTCCTAGCAAGTTCCCAGGTGATCCTGACGTTACTGGTTTAGAGAACACACATTGAGACCCACTTCTCTAGTTAATACCAGGCAGCCATTCCATTTGTGGCCAGGCTCCAGGCTTCCTTTACCTGCTTTGACAACCCCCAGGTGAAAGAGGCACTTCTTTTCTTAGTTCCAGTGCGAGTTCAAGAACCAGCTGTCTCCTGAACCAGCCTCCGTTCTCCATGGTCAGGGAGAGTCTGGCATGGGCCAGGCTGAGCCAGGAGTGGGGCCATATCCACCCAAAAGACTGAGAAGGGTGAGGAAAGAATGGTTCCCTGAAGGAAACTGTAGGTGCTATGAAGATCATGGTGCCAGGTAGACAAAAGCCACTGCTGTCCATTTCATATAAAAACGAACCACATAGGTGGCCAGGCGTGGTGGCTCATGCCTGTCGTCCCAGCATCTGCGGAGGCCAAGGCACGCAGATCACTTGAGGTCAGGTGTTTGAGACCAGCCTGGCCAACATGTCAGAACCCCATCTCTACTAAAAGTACAAAAATTAGCTGAGTGTGGTGGCACGCACCTGTAGTCCCAGCTATTCAGGAGGCTGAGGTAGGAGAATCACTTGAACCTGGGAGGTGGAGGTTGCGGTGAGCCGAGATCACACCACTGCACTCCAGCCTGGGTGAGTAGTGAGAGTCCATCTCAAAAAAAAAAAAAAAAAAAAAAAAAAAAAAACAAAAAAAAAAAAAAAAAAAAAAAAAAAAAAAATCAACCACATAGGACATTTTGCTGCAGATTCTACAGAGGCAGCGTGAAGCAATGAACTGTAACACCTAAGAGTTGAAGTCGTTTAGTCTGGAGGGCTTGATTGCTGTCCCAGAAAATCACATGCACTCCTGGGCTCAAGGAGAGACCGTGGCAGATGGAAGAGGGTTAGGGCTACAGACAGCGCCTGCCATCAAGAAAAGTCCCGCAAGAAGCTTTACAGATGAGAAGAACACAGGCCTTGACAAGCCAGGTCTGTCAGCTATTACTGCCTGACAACCCACCCCAAAATGTAGTAGCTTAAAACAGCAAGCGTTTTATGATTGCTCATAAGGCTGTGGGTGGACTGGGCTGTTCTGTAGTGAGCTAGCAGGTGGCTGGGCCAGATGGTCTAGGACAGCCTTACTCACATGTCTGGCAGTTTTGTTTGTCCTGAGGACCTTGGCTGGGACAGCCCATCTTGGCCTAATGGAGTCTTATTCTCTAGCACTGGTGCTCTCAGGGCAGCAAGAGAGGACAAGCCCACGTCTGGGTGCTTTTTAAAGACTGCTTGGTTATGATTGCTAAAGTCATCAGGCAAGGCCAGCTGCAGTGCCTCATGCCTGTAAGCCCAGCACTTTGGGAGGCCAAGGTGAGAGGATCACTTGACCTAGGAGTTCAAGCCTGGGCAACAAAGTGAGACGTCATCTCTACAAATAATAATAAAAAAAAAACGCTAGCTGGGCAATGTGATCCATGCCTGTGGTCCCAGCTACACAAGAGGCTGAGGCAGGAAGATGACTTGATCCCAGGGAAGTCAAGGCTGCAGTGAGTCATAATCATTCCACGGCACTCCAGCCTGGGTGATAGAGTGAGACTCCATCTCAGATAGATAGATAGACAGATAGATAGATAGGAAAAATAAATAAATAAAATGAAAGTCACCAGGCCAAGCTCAGCTAGAAAAACCGACACCACCTCTTAATAGGAAATGCCACAAAATCACATTGCAGCAGTCCACATACAGGGGTGGGAGGAATACGTGGCCACCTGTTGCGGTTTCCTATGCCATGGGAAGCAGGTCGCCTGATAACGTTGGCCCAATTTGAAATGCATGGAGGCTTTGGAGTACCCAGGCCTAGAACATTGTCCCAGGGCACACTCTCCCTTCCCCCCTCCCTCTTGGCTTTTAGAAGTGAGTGTGGAATCTGAAGACAAAACAGGGCTACATCTACCATTTCCTTGGACTTTTTGCCATGCAACATAATGTACAGCTTCAAGACGTACCAGGCACGTGACCACAGGGAGTAGGGTGCATTGTGGAAACTGAAGCACTTTGGCCCCGTTGAAAGGGGGCTCTATCACCCAGCTCCAGCCAATGGTTCCCGGTTCTCACATACGAATACGGTTCCAGGGTTGCCAGATGGTATTATTTTTCAGGAGATGCCAGGAATCCCAATTTTCAGGTGGATTTCCTTTTTTTTTTTTTTTTTTTTTTNTTGGCATCTATTTTCAATTTTTCTAAAAAAAGGGAAAGTGACACAATACATCTCTGTAGGCAGGTTATGCCTGTGGGCTACTGATTTATGATTGCTATAATAGACCCTTGTTGTCCTTAGATTTCATATTCACCATTTTGGTGGCTTCCCAGGTGACCTCCAAGGCCCCTTGCATGTAGTAAGGGGTAATTTTGCTGAGCCTCTGAATTTGAGCTTTCAAGTCACAGCTGGTGGCTGGTGAGCCGACCAGTGGCCGCGTGCCCTCACGTCTTCTGTGTGACATGTGTTGCATTCATGGTAAATCTCCTGAATTGATACACCTTTTGTTTTTATGTGAGAAAGAAGAAAGCCAAGCACTGGTGAAGCGAAGAGAAAGTGAAGTTACCAGAAGAGGGATGGTTCTCAACCAGAAAAGAGCAGTTTAGGGGAAGTTAAAATGTGCCATTTGGCTTTTGCTGGTGGCACAAATTGACTCTGCGAACAGATCCACCATCCTTTCGATCTGCGTTGGGAATAAATCCACCATCCTGGGGTGCTCAGGCCAGCATTCGCCCAAGTGAGCAATGAGAGCATCAAAAAGAATTAAAAGGTGGTTACCTCGTGCGCACGTGTGTGCGCAGTGAGGGAGCGCACAGAGGGAATGTGATTTTGGAGAACTCGGGTGCCATGTAGGACGGTTCTGGGAAGCCAGGGTGGGGAAAGCTCTGGTAGCGGAGCTGCAGCATTGACCTTCACTTGGAGAAAGGGTAATTTAATTTTCAGAAGCAGCTTCTTAGCATAATAAGCCCCAAAGGGCCCGGGCAGCACGGGATGATCATGTTGCTGGAGGAGCATTTCCTCCCAAATGAAAGACACTCAGGGGCAAAAGCGTCTGTGTGGATAGAACTGGTCCCTACTGGAGAAAGATGCCTTTGTGAATCTCCTTGTCCAAGAAGAAGTGAGTGTAGGGCTGCACGGCCAAGGACAGATCGTCCTACCCGCTCACAGGCTGTGAGATGAGCTTCCACACTATCTCAGAGGCGCCTTGTTCCATCCCAGCCCCCGGACTGGTGAGGCACAAGGGGAAGAGGCTCTTGCCTCCCAAAGTTCTGACATTACAGGCATGAGCCACTGCACCCAGCCTCCGCATTTTCTTTATCCAGTCCACTGCTGATGGGCATTTAGGTTGATTCCATGTCTTTGCTATTGTGAACAGTGCTAGATGAACATACATGTGCATCTATGGTAGGATGATTTATATTCCTCTGTATCGTTCCAATTTTAGTATATGTTCTGCCGAAGTGAGCACGGATGATTTATAACCCTTTGGGTAGATACCCAGTATATCCCAAATATAATGGGATTTCTGCATCAAATGGTAATTCTGTTTTTTGCTCTTTGAGGAATCGCCATGCTGTGTGTGCGTGTGTGTATGTGTGCATGTATGTGTGTAAGCTATTTGAGATGAAGTGGCAGACATCATTCCCATTTACCCCTGAACTCTGTGTGTGTGCGTGTGTGTGTGCATGTGCATGTGCGTGTGTGTGTGTGTTTGTAAGCTATTTAAGTGGCAGACATCATTCCCCTTTACCCCTGAACACTGCAGTATATATCTCCTAAAATCAAGGGCATTCGTTTTACATCACCAGAGTACACTAATGAAATTCAGGACATTTAGCATTAATAGAATACTACTGTCTAAGCCATAGACTGTATTTGAATTTTCCCAGTTGCCACAGTAATGTTCTTTACAGCGCTGCCCCTTCCCCAGGACCAAGTCCCCAAGGCCATTGCTGCATTCAGCCGCTGTGTCTGCCTAGTCTCCTTTAATCTGGAACCGTTTTCTTTGTCTTTTACGACCTTGACATTTTTGGAGAGTACAGGCCAGTTGTTTTATAGAATGTTCCTCAATTGGGGTCTAACAGATTTTGAGCTGCGCTCGGAGAACATAATCTAAAGGAGCATCCTCCTGTCTTCTGCCCTCAGGACCTGGAAGCCGGCGAGAGAGACCCCCGTCTGCAACCCGCAAAACTCTTTTCCAGGCTGAGGACTCAGAGGAAGACGCCTCTGCTGTGCTCCGAGCCATCCAGGTGGAGAACGCGGCCCTGCAGAGGGTGCTCCTCAGCAGAAAGGCTGAGCAGCCAGCCAGCCCACTGCAGGTGCACTGGGGACAGGGAGAGGAACCAGGGTACGCTCCCCATAGCTGCTGTTGAGAAGAGCAAGTGGGCAGAAGAGAGAGGCATAGGGGGCATCGCTGACCGCAGACTCATCCATGTTTCCGACGTTCACAGTCACCCACTGACCTGCTAAGGCTCCCCTTTTTTCCACCTTCTTTCAGCCCTTTGTTTATTTCACAAAGCCTAAGCTGGGTGCTAATCTGCCTCCAGTCCTTGCTGATTTCCCTGCAAACCCTGGATACCTTAGATCAGGGTTGCAAGCCGGTGGGTCAGTGAAGAATGGAGTAAAGAACAAGCTCTGGCTTCCCAGGGGAGGTCTCATTCCCGAGCATGGGCCCTTCAGGCGTCTGCAGTCCTCACTGCTCCCCGTCGTCCTGCCCTTGGCCCACTTCACTTGTTCACAAAACCTCTCTGGGCCTCCAGGGGCTTGAGTTTCCATGTGCTGCCTTTTGCTTTGAGCAGCCAACAGGAAGATAAATGATTGGGGGAGCAGGGACCTTGGTGAGCTGGAGGCATTGGGTATAACGTGGTTTGCCCTTCCTTTCTCAGGAGCTTGGTCTGTGACTTGCCTGGTGAAATCCTTTTTTTTAGCTTGTCCCCTCGATGCTTACAGTAGCCCTGAAATATGCAGGGCTGGTTTCATTGCCTCAATTCACAGATGTGGCCACCAGCACCCAGAGAAACAGGGTGGCCTGCTTCTCTCAAGGACAAGGTGATCACATCTTTGGAAGTGGTTGAGGTCTGCCTGCCTGCAAGCCCAGGGCCCCGTCATCAGCACTGGTTGTTCCCCAGGCTCTATCTTGGGGCTGCTCTTTGGGTGTCCATCGAGCAGCACCCACTGTCTGTTTTCCCAGACCTCTGACCTTGCCCCTGATCTTTACGTCTATGGCACCTTGAGAAAGTCCCTGCCCTTCTCTGTGCCCTCATGTTTCTATGAACAGTGTGGAGTGAATGGCTTTGCTCCAGCATCACATATGATCACATCCTTCCAGGATGCAGAGGGACCACCAGCAAGACCATGGACCAGTCAGCTGAAGAAAGAGGAAGACACCCTTGAGGTCAGTGCCAGGCAGCAATGAGTGGCAAAGCCCCACGCATGTACATAGTGCCCGCTGGCCTCCAGGGCGCATCCTTCATGCTGTCCCACCAGGTCCTCACCGTGTGCCCTGAGCACTCGTGTCATAGATAGGGAGACCGGGGCTGGCATGGCTTACCCAAGGTCACGAGTTGACACCAGAATTCACCCAGGCCTGCTGACTCAAACTGTTGTTTTATTTCTATTTTTTTTTTTTTTTTTTTTTTGAGACAGAGTCTCACTCTGTCGCCCAGGCAGGAGTGCAGTGGTGCAGTCTCGGCTCACTGCAACTTCTGCCTCCCGGGTTCAAGTGATTCTCCCACCTCAGCCTCCCAAGTAGCGGGATTACAGGTGCCCGCCACCACACCTGGCTAATTTTTGTATTTTTAATAGAGACGGGGTTTCACCATGTTGCTCAGTCTTGTCTCGAACTCCTGACTTCAAGTGATCCGCCTGCCTCGGCCTCCCAAAGTGCTGGGATTACAGGCATGAGCCACCACGCCCGGCCTATATTTCTGTTTATTGACAGGACAATGCAAAAACAGACCTTACTTCCTTGAATAAATGCATTTTTGTATCTGTATCTATCTAGGTTAATTAAGTATATCTCAGCAAATTTGGTCCCAGCAAATAAGGATGTGAATTAGTGAAATGCCCAGGACTGTCTTTGCTAGGTTTTACCCGGGTCTGTGCCGTGTGCTCCGAGTACCGAGGCAGCTGAGGCAGGTGAGCCCCGGCCCCACGCAGCTTACAGGCAACAGCAAATAAAGCCATACATAAACAGGGTGACACCCGATGACAATCACAGCTGCTAATATTCGAGAGAATGACAGGGTGTGTCTGTCTCTGACGGGGTGGTCCTGGGTGCCCCTTGGAAGGCATGTCCCATCTGAGCTGAGCCCTGCCTGTTCAGAAGGCACCAGCAACAGGGAACGGCATTCCAGGTGGAAGGAACAGGGGAAAAGCTTTGAGATGGGAACGAGCCCAGCCTGATCAAGGGGCAGGAAGACACCCTTTGTGAGGCGGGCAAGAAGGGATGGAGGAAGAGGAGGGAGACAGAGCCTAGGTAGGGCCGGTGTGAGGTCACACCCCAGAGCACTGGAGCTGTTTGCTGTTTGCATTGATACCCCTTGTCCCGCCAGTTCCCGTCACCCTCGTCTGCCGCTAGCCAGTGTTTCTGACAGGCCTGCAGTACTGCCCAGGTCCGGAATTTCTGGATGACCTAATTCCTGACCCACAGAGATTCCGGGGACTAAAATCATCTGCAGACGGACAGCAGGGCACATTTCTAGCATCGATGATAAATGAAAAAGAAGGGGAAAGGACTCAGAGAATTAAAAATGAAAGGGCCTAATGCTGTTACTGGAATTCTCCACGGAGTCTGCTTACTTTGTACAAAGCAGAACAGGGGCTCCGTTGAGATGGTAACAGGATATTTTTTAGTTTTTTGAGGCAGTTACCCAGGCTGGAGTGCAGTGGCACGATCGTAGCTCACTGCAGCCTCAAACTCCTGGGCTCAAGTGATCCTCCTGCCTCAGCCTCCCAAAATGCTACGGTTACAAGCATAAACCGTCATGTCTGGCCAGTGAAGCATTTTGATGAAAAAAGGTTTCCAGTAGCTCATCGAAGTGGATTGTTTCCTGGGAGCGCCCAGATCATCAGAAGCTGAGTTGGTGTGACGGGTTCTAGACAGAAGCCCCAGGCAGCTGCTGTCACCCTCACGTTCCTGTTCCTGTTTCCTACAAAGGGACTGTCAGCCTGAGCAGGCCTGCCCTTGACCATGACCCTCCTGTGTCTTGGGCCAGGAGTGTTGCCTGAAACATCTGTTTAATTAGCCTTTCCATCCTCAGGGACTTCCCATCACCACGGCGACCACCACTCAGAGGCCGGCCGGGGCAGCAGGGGGAGCCAGAGCCATCGACCAGGCCATCGACAGAACTGGACTTCTGGGAAGCAGGTACCACCAAGGCCGAGGCCAAACCCAAACCCCGTAGCAGTGCAGCCGTGGGGATCTTCTTCATGAGGGTTCCTGTGTTTTTTCAGAACCCCTATTTCTCTCTTTAAGACAGGATCTCGCTCTGTTGCCCGGGCTGGAGTATGGTAGCAAAAACAGCTCACTGCAGCCTCAAACTCTGGGTTAAAATGATCCTCCAGCCTCAGCCTCCCGAGTAGTTGGGGTCACAGGTGTGTGCCACCTACCCAGCTCATTTTTGTACTTTTTTGTAGAGATAAGGTCTCACAATGTTGCCCAGGCTGGTCTCCAACTCCTGGGCTCAAGCAGTCCACCCACCTTGGCCTCCCTAAGTACTGGGATTACAGGCGTGAGCCACCACGTGTGGCCCCAAACTCTTTTAAACTATTCCTTTAGACGGTACTCTTTCTCTCCCTCCAGCCCTAAAGCACTCAAACTGACTTGATTTCTTTCAGGCAAATGGCTCTTGGCTTGGTCAATTTGGCCCCAACCTGTGTAACGTGAACCTCTTCAGGTTTCCAGCGGAATACCCCATGCAGCACAGGGTGTCCAACTTGTTTCCCAGCTGGTCTAGGGGGCGAGGCTGGCCCACAGCAGCATCCTTCGAAGCTCCTTTTCTCTGTTAAAAGTTTGTTCAAACTCAGCATGCTTTTCCATTAACATGTAGCAGCAGTTATTGGAACTGTCAGGTTTTATTATCAAAATAAAGCCTTCCCTCTAGTCTTCAGACAAAATAGATCTTCAGAAAGATGCACTGGGCTGAGCCTGTAGTTTCTGGCATGCCACGGCACACAGACACACTCCCAGGGCTGCTGTGCACAGCTGTGCATGTTGTATACTGCGCAAAGTGCCTGGCTGAGGGGAAGAAGGGGCTGAAATCCAGTCTGCTTGCTGGTCACTAAGCTCGGGGCCTGACCTAGGGCCATATCAGCCCAGAAAGGGGGTGGTGGCTTTTCTGCATGAAGAAGGAATTCACTAGCCAAGCTGTGTGCCTCCAGGTCTGTGTCCACCTAGAGGGAGTCCTTTATTATAACTTACAGGAAAACTGAATAGGCTAAAGGCAACGCCATCCATTCTTCTAACACTTTTCAGGCCTCAGGTGGAAATCAGGGCCGTGTGCCATCGTGGCCATAATAAGAACTAGCAGGGAAACCCCTGCTGTGGACAGGCAAAGTGGCTCACACCTGTGATCCCAGCACTTTGGGAGGCCGAGACGGGCAAATCACCTGAGGTCAGGAGTTCAAGACCAGTCTGGCCAACATGGTGAAAACTCCATCTCTACTAAAAATACAAAAATCATCTGAGCGTGGTGGCGCATGCCTGTAACCCCAGCTACTTGGGAGGCTGAGGCAGGACAATCGCTTGAAACCCTGAGGCGGCGGAGGTTGTAGTGAGCCGAGACTGCGCCATTGCACTCCAGCCTGAGCACAAAGGTTCTTTGTACCTTTTAAAAGCATAAACCATTCTTAGCTCACAGACTCTACAAAAACAGAGTGAAACTTCATCTCAAAAAAAAAAAGAGAGAGAGAAAAGGCTAGGTCATGAGGATGTTTTACATCTGATGCAGTTTATTACAGACAGCATGCGCTTCGCCAAATGTTTCTTTCCTCAGCATCAAGATCCTTTGTGCTTCAGGGTCTTGGGGGTACCCAGCTGTAAACTGCACACGTGGGCACGTTTGCAAGTGATGAAGGCATGCTCTGCTGGGTTTAGAATGCCCATGTCCTCAGAAACCGGAGCTGCCGGGCAGCTCTCCAGCCCAGGGGTCAAGGCCAGATAGTAAATACGCTTTTCGGCTGGTTTTGTTGCTGTCGTTGTTATAGTTTGTTTCTTTGTACAACCTTTTAAAAACATAAACCATCCTTAGTTCACTGGCGGTACGAAAACAGGCCGTGGGCTGGATTTGACTTGCAGGCCTTAGTTCGGCTGACCCCTGCTCTTGACTCCCAAGTTCTAAGCTTAGGGAGGTCACTTGGCCACCTTGCCTCAAATAGTGTTTCCCCAGCTGGCTCTGATTCCATCACTAATTGTACAGCCATTTATAAAGGGGGAAAAACGGCAAGCCTGCCCTTGCCTTTGAACTGGATGCAGAGTACATACTTCCTCTTCAAATCATTTCCTGTCCCCGAGAAGGAAATGTCAGTGTGGCACCTTTGACTGGAATGTTCTTTTGTGTGTCATTTACTGCTACCTGTTTGCTAAAACCAAATCCCTTTCAGACAGCAGCAGAAGCTTCTGAAAGTCCCCCAGGCCGTCGAAAGTGACTCTGCCCATCTCAGCAGGGCGGTTTCAGCAACCAAGGAGCAAGTTTCAGACGCAGAGGTGAGAGCCTTGACTTGATTTTCCGCTGCACATTCAGGAAGGCTTCCTGGGAACAGTCATTTCGCATCGGTGGGGATTGCTCTGACCGTGGTTAAATTAGCATCTCTCGGCCCGTGTCTCCCTCTCCCCTCCTCCCCAGCACACAGAGGATTAGGTGATGGAGAGTAGGAGCAGAGAAAGGAGGAGGTGGGCCAGGAGCTTTAGCGGAGAGAGGCCCGTCCCCACGAGAGGAAGCTCATAGGAAAATGCCCAACATCGCTGGCAATCAAGAAATGCAAATTGCAGCAACCTGAGCATCCCGTTTGCTCTCGGAATTGACAAATTATTTCTGACGATAACCTCAAGTGCTAGCAAGGTTACAATAAAGCTGTGGCAGCCACACACACGTGGCCGGCAGCTGGATAAACAAGTGAAACGCTCTCGGGAAACAGAATGCTTGACCTTAGGAAGAACCTTGGAAATACTTCTGTCTTTCCGCCCCGTAATCCCACTCCCTTATGTAAGGAAATCACCCAACAGAAATAAAAAGCTAGGGGCACAACAAGGTCCGTTACAGAATTATTGGACGTAGGAGAGACATTTTTTTAAACCTCGTCGTCTCCTAACAGTGGAGTGAATCGGGAAAGTACGATCCGTCAGCACGATGCGGTAGTATAAAATGGTGGAAGCCATCATTCCGAGACAACGCAACGGGGAACGCTAAGACATGCCAACCTAACTGTAACAGGGATGTCAATCTTCCAGTCCAGTGTGATTGCAACAGCTGTGCAAAGGTGTGGCCATTGAGTGTGCTGATGGAGCTGGGACACAAAATACAAAAGGGAACTGTGGCATCAGCGTGCTAGGATTAATGATGATTCCATTTTCCTTCCTTCCTTCCTTCCATTCTTTCTTCCTTCCTTCCTCCCTGCCTCCCTCCCTCCCTCCTCCCTTCCCCCATTCCCCCTTTCTCCTCTTCCCCCCCTTCCTTCCTTCTTCCTTCTTCCTTCCTTCCTTCCTTCCTTCGTGCTCTGTTGCCCAGGCTGGAATGCAGTGGTGCCATCTCGGCTCACTTCAACCTCCACCTCCCAGGTTCAAGCGATTCCCCTGTCTCAGCCTCCCCAGTAGCTGGGATTACAGGTGTGCGCCACCAAACCCGGCTAATTTTTGTATTTTTAATAGAGGTGGGGTTTCGCCATGTTGGCCAGTTTGGTCTCTAACTCCTGGCCTCAAGTGACCTGCCTGGCTCGGCCTCCCACAGAGCTAAGATTATGGGCATGAGCCACCACACCTGGCCTCTATTTTTTTGTGCCCTAAAAGGTGTGTGTCCCGGCACGTCCTTCCTGCCCCTACCTTCGCCCAAGCCATTCTCAGTGTTATTTGGTATGGTGATCACCAATCTTACTACTGGCCCGTGAGGACGTAATGTGAAGTCCTCCCAAAGCCACACATAAAATCCTATGAGAGCAGAGAGGCCTCTGAGCTGGCTTGGCCTGGACTGGACTTCCAGCTTTGAATCTGGCGCCATCATTTAGAGCTTGTGTGACCTTAGACAAGCCTCTTAAGCTGTCTGGTCCTGGCACTCAAATAGGGTCAATAATCCATGGCCCACAGGCCGCTGTGCGCATGAAACAGGAAAGGTCTCTGAGGGCGTGCACCTCAGCGCAGAGAGAGGCCAACCACTATCAACTAGAAGTTCAGCATCGAGAAAAAGCAAAGCTTTGCTCCCTACTGCATGGAGTAGTTGCTTTATTTTTATTACTTTAATTAATGGATGTGTTTTAGAGACAGGGCCTTGTTCTGTCTCCCAGGCTGGTGTGCAGTGGGTGTGATCATGGCTCACTGCAGCCTTGAACTCCTTGCTCAGTCAGTCCTCCCATCTTAGCCTCCCGTGTAGCTGGGACCACAGGGGCCCCCCAGCACACCTGGCTATTTAAAAAAAAAAAAATTGTAGATTTTTTTGTAAATTGGGATACCGCCAAGCAGGGTCCGAAATCAGGCAGTACAGACGCAGAAGGAGCCACTGAGTAGCAGTAGACAAGGTGTGACACGCTTAGTGAGTAGGTCCTTCAGCTTTTTCATTTACAAACGCAGCTGAGGCATTTGCACATTTCAGATTGCACCGGGTGGGAGTTCTAGCAGCCCTCTGAGAGGCAGCCTGCCTCCCATCTGGCCCTCCTGCCTCCCACCAACAAGCAAGGTGAACAGGGCCACTTCTTCGGCATCCCCCAGACTGACCGCTCACCTGGCCCTGGATTGCTCCTCACAAGCACAAGCTCATTAACCTCCCAGTCCCCTGGAGTCAGCCAGGCCAGTTTAGCTTCATCCCTGCCCTGCGTGCCTGGGACTCAGACCCAGGGCAGCAGAGGGCTTGGCCAGGACCCCACATGGCTATGGAGCAAAAGGAGGAAGCTGTGGGTGTCAAGGGCCTAGCTAATCAAAACAGGCCCTATCTTTCATCTGGGAGCTGTGAGCTGACCTCTCTCCTTCCTCCCCATCTGCATTCCCACCATGTGGCAATCAAGGCCCCTCCAAACACACACGGAGAGCACTAGCACATCTCGCTGGCTATTAATTAAAAAAATAAGTGGGGAACAGTTGCTGTTCATTTACTCGGCTCCCTGCTCACAGAACCATTGCAGATTACCGGTGCTAATTAACAGAGGGCATGTGCACGCGGGGAATGCACCATTTTGTGAGTGACTGATCCGTGGCGACCAGTGCTGCAGTCGGCCCCGGAGGGCCTCAGGAAGCCATTCCGAAGGGTGGCCATTTATTGATGACATTCACGCAGGCTCTCAGAGCAGACAGCCGACGCGGGAAGGAGGCAGGCATTAAAATCAATGAAGGAGAGAAACAGAAAGAAACAGACACTTACAGGGCGCACCCAGGGCCGGGGCTCGTGGTAGGGCCTCCTTGGGTATTGATATCTTGTTTAAGGCCTGTGGCAGGATTATCACGTAGATGGTGTCATCTCGTCTTCCCCAACCAGGCCAAGGGATGTCAAGTGACTTGTCCAAGGCCAGGTGGGCCATGTAACCTACTATATCAGTCTGCTCAGGCTGCCATAACAAAATACCACACACTGGGGGGCTTCAGTAACAGAGATTTGTTTTCTCACAGTTCTGGAGGCTGGAAGTCCAAGGTCAGGTGTGGGCAGGTTTGGTTTAGTCCTGAGGCCTCTCTCTTGCAAGCAGCTGCCTTCTTGCTGTGCTCTCACATGATGGTCTTTTTCTGTGTGCATTTCCTGGTGTGTCTCTCTGTGCATCCAACTTTCCTCTTATAAGGACACCAATTAGATTGGATTAGCCCTCCCACTGACCCCACAGCCTCATTTTAATTTAATCACCTGTTTGAAGGCCTTATCTCCAAAGACAGTCGTATTCTGAGGTACTGGGGATTAGGGTTTCAACAGATGAATTTGGAAGGGACAAAATTCAGCCCATAAACTTTTTTTTTTTTTTTGACTGGGTCTTTCACCCAGCCTGGAATGTAGCGGTGTGAACATGGCTCACTGCAGCCTCAACCTCCTGGGCTCAAGCAGTCCACCTGCCTCAGCCTCCTGTGTAGCTGGTACTACAGGCATGTTTCACTGTGCCCAGCTCATTTTTTAAAAAATTATTTTGTAGGGCCGGGCACGGTGGCTCACGCCTGTAATCCCAGCACTTTGGGAGGCCGAGGCGGGTGGATCACGAGGTCAAGAGATCGAGACCATCCTGGTCAACATGATGAAACCCCGTCTCTACTAAAAATACAAAAAAAATTAGCTGGGCATGGTGGCGCGTGCCTGTAATCCCAGCTACTCAGGAGGCTGAGGCGGGAGAATTGCCTGAACCCAGGAGGCGGAGGTTACGGTGAGCCGAGATTGCGCCATTGCACTCCAGCCTGGGTAACAAGAGTAAAACTCCGACTCAAAAAAAAAAAAAAAAAAAATATTTTGTAAAGCCAGGGTCTCGCTTTGTTGCTTAAGGCTGATCCTGAACTCCTGGCCTTCAGGAATCCTCCCAATTTGGCCTCCCAAAATGCTGCCACCGTGCCCAGCCTCGGCTCGTAACACCTACTCAATTCAGCAGATGTTGTGACAAGCTTCTGGGTCCTGAACACTTGAGTAGCGGGGGAGAGGTGTGAATATTCAGGCAGAATTCAATGCTTTTTAACATTTTTATTTATTTGTAAACTCTCAAACAGCATGCTGATAGAGTGCCAGGTACACAGCGACTCTATTTTGAATGCTTTGCAGAATGAACTCATTTAATCACTGTGATAACCATAGCTAGTGGGTGCCATTCTTATCCTCATAGTACAGATGGAGAGACTGAGACCCTGAAGGTCAACTAACTTTTTGAAGGCAGTGGTAGCAGAGAGGGAGCCGAATTCAAGCCTGTCATGTCTTAATCCTTTGGTGTTATTTTTCTCTTCTTTGAGGACAAACAGAGAATGAGGGCAGAGGAGATCAAAGATGCCATCTACGTGACCATGGAGATCCTGTCCAACTGGGGCAACTCGTGGTGGGTGGGGCTCACAGAAGTCGAGTTCTTTGATCTGAACGACACGAAGCTGTATGTGTCGCCCCACGATGTGGATATCCGGAACACAGCCACTCCTGGGGAGCTGGGCCGCCTCGTCAACAGGAACTTAGCTGTGAGTTGAGGGGCACTGGATCGCTTGTATTCCTATGCATTTTCTCTGTCCTTGATAAGTCTGAGTTAAGGGTATTAGTGGAGGGAGGGGAAGAACAGCAAAATCTGGCCGGGCACAGTGGCTCACACCTGTAATCCCAGAACTTTGGGAGGTCAAGGCAGGCAGATCATTTGAGGTCAGGAGTCCAAGACCAGGGTGGGCAACAAGGCAAAACCCTGTCTCTGCAAAAAAACACAAAAAAAATTAGCCAGGCATCATGGCTCATGCCTGTAGTCCCAGCTACTTGGGAGGCCGAGGTGGGAGGATCTCCTGAGCCCAGGGAGGCTGAGGCTGCAGTGAGCTGTGATTGCAACAGTGCGTTCCAGACTGAGCAACAGAGGGAGACCTTCTTTCCAAAAACAAAAACAAAAATAGTCCAGGCACGGTGGCTCATGCCTATAATCCCAGCACTTTGGGAGGCCGAGGCGGGTAGATCACTTGAGGTCAGGAGTTGGAGACCAGCCCGGCCAACGTGGCGAAACCCCGTGTCTACTAATAATACAAAAATTAGCCAGGTGTGGTGGCGCATGCCTGTAGTCTCAGCTACTTCAGCAGGCTGAGCCAGGAGAATCGCCTGAACCCGGGAGGTGGAGGTTGTAGTGAGCCAAGATTGTGCCACTGCACTCCAGCCTGGGTGACAGAGTGAGATTCTGTCTCTAAATAAATAAATCGAATCTACCAGGGTTGTTCATTTGGGCAAAGTTGGGGAGGAGCCTGGGGGAACGGTACTGGCAGAGGCCCCTGACACTCTCTCCCGAAGCTGTTTCCCAGCCCCTGCTCTGTGGGGTTTTCTTAGTGGAGCCAATTCACCTGCTCTGTTACCCACCTTGCAGTTCTCCATAGTCACCACCAAACGCTGGACCTCAGGGGTCATTAAGGTCAATGAGTGTTCTTTGTAGTTGAAGAAACTACAGCGTGGAGGAGGGCAGTGACTTGGCCAAGGTCACACAGCTGGAAGGTAGCGGAGCCAAGTTCACATCAGGCAGCCCGGGCCAGGACCCTTGCCCACACCCTCTCAGGACCCTGCCGCCCCAAGGTCGTTAGGTGCACACTCCACAAACATTGAGCGTATTTTTCCTTTAAATATCCAACAGAGCCAGGTACAGTGGCTCATGCCTGTAATCACAGCACTTTGGGAGGCCGAGGCGGGCAGATCACCTGAGGCCAGGAGTTCGAGACCAGTCTGGCCCACATGGTGAAACCCCGTCTCTATTAAAAATACCAAAATTAGCCAGTGTGGGGGTGCACACCTGTAGTCCCAGCTACTTGGGAGGCTGAGGCAGGAGAATCGTTGGAATCTAGGAGGGGAGGTTGCAGTGAGCCAAGATTGTACTACTACACTCCAGCCTGAGTGACAGAGCAGGACTCCTCTGGCTCAATAAACAAACACAAACAACAGAATTTACAAAAAAGAAGATTGGGGAGGGGCCTGGCATTTTTCCTTCCTGCGGCTTACAAGCTGGACACAAGAGGCTGTGAGCTAAACTGAGCCAGAATAGCCAGCCACGTCGTCTTTGCTATGCTGGGCCTTAGCATCATTCATAATCATCTCCTGAGAGACCTGGGAAGATGCTGTTGTTATTACGTGATCATAGCTCACTGCAGCCTCAAACCCCTGGGCTCAAGCTGTCCTCCTGCCTCAGCCTCCTAAATAGCTGGGACTACAAGCACACAGTACTACATCTGGCTAATTTTGTAAATGTTTTTATAGAGCCTGGGTTTCACCATGTTGCCCGGGCTGGTCATAAACTCCTGGCCTCAAGCCATCCTCCCACCTTGGCCTCCCAAAGTGCTGGGATTATGGGCATGAGCCACCATGCCCAGTCTTTGCCGTTATTGTTGTTACTATTAATAGTATTAATACCACTGAGAGGTAGTTAGTGTTATTCCCATTTTAAAGAAGAGGAAACAGAAGAAGCAGTCTTTGAAATTTCCGATTCTAGAGACCCAGATTCTGGTCTTGACTCTGGCCTGGGACAACTTACCTGCCTTCTCTGAGAGTGGATTTTTCTGCCTGCTAAAAAATGGGAGATTGGGTCAATCATCTGTTAGGATTCTTAGATTTCCAGCCGCAGAAGCAGAGTCTAGCTCAGTTAGCACATTTTTAAACAGTAACTATGTTTTAGGTCTTTCGAGTAGCGAGTGTACTCACTGTCATGTAGGCCAGGAGAGGACAGGCCTTGTGGGAACAAGGGTTTCAGGGAGCATCCTGGAATGCTGGCCGCCAAGGGCGTGGTCTTCTTTTGGGGGTGGGTAATGAACAGGAGGATGTGAGGTTCTTCTGGAAAGATTCTCCTCTTGGACTGGAGGTTCTGGGGAGATCATGCCATCCTACTTAGAGTTGACTGATTGGGCCTTCGTGTGAGTGGTCACTTCCATGACACCCAAAACCATGACTGACTTACATCCTAAACTGGGTCCTGACTCAAGGCTGTGGGCTGCGTTCGGGAAAGGGAACAAATGAGAAGGGAAGATGGAGAAAAGCATAAAGCTTCATTCACTTCGTTCATGCAGCAGCCATTTATGGAGATGCCGTGGCAGCGTTCGTAGGCCGCTTGATTTGTCCTCGCGACTCTCTGCTGGAAACAGTCTCAGGAGAGGAAGGCTGATGGACCAGCCCAACTAAGGCAGGGCACCTTGATGCCACTTCCACCAACATGCCCCAGCAGGGCAGGAAGGGATTCTCCCTGAAGGAGTTCACGATTGCTTGGGAAATGTGTCATATATGTCATAAATAAAAATAAAGAAATTCAAGATCGCCACAAAAAGAAAGGCAGGCTGGTTGCTAGATAGTCAAGAAGCAGCAGCCGTCCCCAGGGCTGGACTGGGGAGGTCCGAGTCCCCTTCTAGATCAGCGCTCTGTGACCTCAGCCCTCGAAAGACGGTCCCTTGGCTGTGGGTAATGGCTGCCTGGGTGCTGTCGCCTGGCCTGGTCCTGTTCTGCCTCCAGATTCAAGTCTGTAGGCTCCCATGCTTGCTGCTGGGGCTTGGTCCACCCTCACCACCTCTCCCCTGCCCCCCTCTTGCAGAAGCAGTGGCGTTTTGGAAGCCTGCTCTCCAGAACAGAGCACACCAGGGGCGATAAAAAGCATCATTGGATTTGATGGGGACCAATTCTGATGATTGCTGTCCCTTCCTTCTGTGCAGCAGAGGCTGGGACGCTTTGCCATGTGATGGCCCATGGTTTTGGTGGATTTGAGGTTTTTATTTTTTGGCCCTGTGATTGGGACATGAGGCAGCTGTGTCCCCCTGGGCTGCTGGGGCTCTGGGCTCATCTGCAGGAAGGCTGGATTCCCCTTACTTCCCTGATTCGGGGCTTCCCTCATCCTGGGTCCCAGGCCCGGGGCTACAGGAACACAGTGCCTCTCAGACCCATCCAATGACACCGGCGCGTGCCAGCCACAGCCTGGCGCATGGCGTCGTTTAACCCTCACAGGAACCTTGGGATGACTCTCCCCCTTTTATCAATGAGGAAAAACAAGAGTAAGAGGACGTGAGGAAGAGGCACCTGCCCCAGGCCATGCAGCATAGCTGATGGAGCCCACCTGACAGCTGAGGTATCTGGAAGCGGAGGCTGGGTTTGAAAGAGCAAATGCTTCAGTGGAGGTGAATTGGGGTATTCAGATGTGAGAGTGCCCCAGCCTCTGCGGAAATTCCTCCCGTCTGTGCCCGCACCACCTCTCTCACTGGCGGCATCTCAGCCCAAGGCCTCAAACGACTCCGGATTTGTACACCTAGCCCTGCCTGCTCCTCTGAGTTCCTGAAATGAATGGCAGCTTCCTGCCTGACATCTCTTGGCTCTCTCCTGGCCATCTCAGACTTTGTTATTATTATTAGTTTTTTAGAGACAGGATCTTGCTCTGTTACCCAGGCTGTCGAACGGGGATGCAGTCATAGCTAACTAAAAACATATGTTCATTAAAAAAAAACTTGTGCCTGCGTGTTCACAGCAGCATTGTTCGTAATAGCCAAAAGTGGTAGAAACAGCCAGATGTACATCAACGGATGAATAAAGAAAATATAGTATTTCTACAACATGGAATATTATTCAGCTCTAAAAAGGGACGAAGTATTGCTACATGATACGACCTGGATGAACCTTGAAAACATTATGCCAAGTGAAAGAAGCCAGACACAGAAGGCTGTATAGTATATAACTCCATGTATATGTAATGTCCAGAATAGGCACATCTGAAGACAAAAACTAGGTTAGTCATTGCCAGAGGCCGGGAGGAGGCAGGCATGAGGAGAGACTGCTCATAAAGTGGGTATCTTTTGGGGGTGGTGGTAAAAATGTATTGGAAGGAAATAGTGGTAATGTTTGCACAACCTTGTGAATATACAAAAGCACCACGGAACTGAATGCTTTAAAATGGCAAATTTTATGCTATATGAATTATATCTCAATTAAAAAAGAAAAAAAAGGACAGAGAAATGTCATACACCATTCTCCGGCTTTCCCCAGTGGTAAATTTTCTGTAACTGTAGTACATTATCAAAACCAGACCTTTACATTGGGATAATGTACTTGTATGTACGTGTGTATAGTTCTATGCAGTTTGATCACGTATGTAGATTTCTTTCTAAAGACACAGACAGTGAGATACAGACCAGTTCCATCACACCAAGGAGCTCCCTTGGGCTCCTCCTGCACAGCCACACGTCCCCATGCCCAGTCCTGACAAGAGAAACCACCGAGCTGTTCCTCTACATACTTTTGCGGTTTCAAGAATGCTATGTAAATGCAGTCATACCATTTATTTCGCATTTATGTCACCGCCAAAGTTGGTAGCCTTTCTGAGACTCGCTTTTTTTACTCGGCGTAATGCCCTTGACATCCTTCCAGATTGTTGTGAGTGTCAGTGGTTTGTTCCTTTTCAATGCAATGGTTTATTAAATTGGAGCTGCTTCTGAGGGCAGTGCAGTACCTCCCGGCGCGTTGCTATTCAGTGTGATGTTCACGCCGGAGTTAAAAAGGCACCTTTGGTTTAGGAGTTACCTCCTCAGAGAAGCCTTCTCTGACCATCCATTTGAAAGTAGCTGTTCCATGAGCCATGAATAATTCTCTCTTATTTTTTTCCTGGAATGTGTCCCTGCTTGATTTTATTTCTTGGAAACATTACCTGTTTGCCTTCCCTCATAGCACAGAGCTGCTAGGGCCTGGCGGGTCAGGTTCCCCTGCTCAGTGTCGGCACCCCAGGAGGGACCCTGCACAGTGTTTGTTGGGCAAGTTATGGAGTAGATGTGTCAGTGCTACTCCCATCCCTCGCCCTAGCACCTCAGGGAACACTGACTGCTTTTCTGAATGGCAGCATTGAGATTTCTTTCTTGGAGGATTCTTTTTGTGGCCTCCAGGATCCACTTTGCCTCCCATGCAGAGAGAAATTGAGCACCCCCACTCCCCACTGCCAGGAGCAGCACTCAATCAACATTGGTGGGAGCTGGGGTATTTATACCCCAGGGGTATAAATACCCCAGCTCCCTGGCCCCCTGGGTGCAGTCACTCTGAGGCCTGTTCCACCCTGGCTCCCAGATTCCCCAGAGGGATTCAGCTCCAGTTGCCCACCTTCCCTGCCTTGTCTCACTTCCCCACCCTCCTGCTGATATTTTCTGCTCTGTCTAAATAAACTACTTACCCGTTGATCCTTGCCTCAGGGTCTGCTTCTGGGGGAAGCCCAAGACCGAATGAATTAACACATGAAAAATGGAGGTTTGGATCCTCACTCCACCACGTGGGCACTGAGCAACCTTAGGCTATCCCTCCCCTCGCTGAGCTTTGGCCTGTTTTTGTCGGTAGCACATGCGTTACAGCAATGTCTGCCTCCTGGGGTTTCCACAGAACCAAGGGCGGTAACAGCAGCTTGAAGGCGCCCAAGTTCCCATTCTGCTGTCTTCCTTACCCCCGGGATGGGGAGGGAGGAGCTGCAGATGCTCTGCCTCCTGCCCTGGCACCAAGGAGTTTGCCCAGCATGTAATAGGTCAGCTCTGGGCAGCTTCCCATCAGCCTTTCTCTCCGAGATCCTGTGTGTGGAGAGGAAACATCAGAAGGCTGGGTAGCTAATGAGACCCAGAGTTATCCGCAGGTTAATGTTCTTTGACTCTGAACACCACAATTCCCACTCCTCCCTCCTGTTATTCCTCCCGCTGACAGACATGTGAAGGGAAATCAATTACAGTCCCCCTCGCCCACATCTAAGGGTCAGCCATCAGTCTCTTCCTTTGTCAGGCAGCCACAGTGCCCCATTTGAGGCCCCCACTCAGCAAAGGAATGTGACTCCCCCACTGGATTTGGGGATGTGGTTTCCTGACCCCTCACAGCTGCCCAGAGCACTACAAGTTCTTGTGGAGCTGGAGAAACTTGCCAGAATAACTCAGAACCCCTTGAACTCATCGTTCCTTCTTAACAAAAGCTGCCTCCTCCCTCCTGAAAGGCACCATTGTCACGGAAACAAGCCCCCTTTGTCCTCCACCGCAGCTGGCGCCTGGGCCTCCCATCTCCTGGGGGCCTATGAAACCCCAGATCAGCCAATCCTCCCTCCCTGGCTCTGTCAAGTAGCAGGCACGTTCCTGGTGACTGTTGAGATGTTCTCAAATGCAGGGTGATGCCCCTTTGAGATAAAAAGGGACAACTTAGCCAGTGTCAGGCCCGCAGAGGTTGCCTATTGGCAGATGGGACTTGCTGTTGCTGCTGGACCGCAGACTCAGTGCCTGCAGGGGTCAGGCAGAGGCTTGAGAGGGAATTGAGGTGGATTTGAAGCAGTAGGGAGTGGTGGGACCTGGGAGCCCTGGGGAACAGTAAGTTTCAGGGTGGCACACTTGGCTCCAGGCAACAGCCATTAGGGCCCCTGAGCTGCCATTTCTTCTGAGTCTGCAGAGGGGTCAGAAACATGGCTGTTGGGAGAAATCTCCCCCCTCACCTTTTTTTTGAGACAGAGTCTTACTCCATTATCCAGGCTGGAGTGCAGTGGTGCGATGTTGGCTCACTGCAACCTCTACCTTCCAGGTTCATGCAATCCTCCTGCCTCAGCCTACCGAGTAGCTGGAATTACAGGCATGTGCCACCACATTCAGCTACGTTTTGTATTTTTTTTTTTTTCTTTTAGTAGAGACGGGGTTTTACCACATTGACCAGGCTGGTCTCCAACTCTTGCCCTCAGATGATCTGCTCACCTTGACCTCCAAAGTGCTGGGATTACAGGCATGAGTCGCTGCACCTGGCCCCCATATTTTTTTCTTAGAGACAGGATCTCACTATGTTGCCCAGGCTAGAGTGCAGTGGTTCCAAACTCCTGGGTTCAAGCGATCCTCCCACCTCAGACTCCCGAGAGTAGCCAGGACTATAGGCAAACGATGCCACACCCTGCTAATTTTTAAAAATTTTTTGTAGATTCAAGGTCCCTCTGTATTGCTTAGGCTGGTCCCTAACTCCTGGCCTCAAGTGATCCTCCTGCTTCAGCCTCCCAAATCACTGGGATTAATGGCATGAGCCACTGTATCTCTCTGAATCACCCCCTTTTTAAATGTTGACAATCAATTTGTCTTTGCTTTTTTTTTTTTTTTTCACATTGCATTAACTAAACAAATACTTCTGCAAGCCAGATCCAGCTTAGTCTCTTCTCTTTATTTTTTTTTTTTTTTGAGACGGAGTCTTGCTCTGTCACCAGGCTGGAGTTCAGTGGCACAATCTCAGCTCACTGCAACCTCCACCTCTCGGGTTCAAGTGATTCTCCTGTCTCAGCCTCCCGAGTAGTTGGGATTATAGGCGTGCACCACCATACCTGGCTAATTTTCATATTTTTAGTAGAGACAGGGTTTCGACATGTTGGCCAGGCTGGTCTGGAACTCCTGACCTCAGGTGATCCATCCACTTGGCCTCCCAGAGTTCTGGGATTACAGACTAGAGCCACCGCACCCAGGCCTATAGTCTCTTCTTAATGCTTTAATGAAAGGGCAGATATTAGGAGGCATATTCCATGTATGCATTCACTTATTTATTACACAAAGGGTTTTGGTTTTTTTTGTTTTTGTTTTTGTTTTTTTTGCATCTGCCATGTGCTAACTGGGCTGGATGCTAAGGGTTCTGGAATGAACTAGACATGACCCCTTCCCTTGAGCACACGGCTGAATGGGGGCATGACATGGACATGAAAAGAGATGATCGTGGGACACCGAGGTAGGTACCACGCTTGGGGACTGCAAGGAGCCATGGGCACCTGGATTTAGCTGAACTCCCCAGGATGAGAAGATTAGGGAGAGAACTGCAAGCAAGCAGAGGCCCAGTTTGTGCCAAGGCACCAGGTTGAGCCAGCGTGGACACGTTTGGGAGCAGCTGTGAGTTTTGTTCCGACAGAGAATGAATAGGTATTGCCGAAAGCCTGAGGAGGCGGCTGGGGCTGAGCAAAGTGCCCTGGTGTGGCTCTTCCATCTGTACCCAAAGCATTCATGACATGCAGTTTTGTCAGTGTGAATGAGAATGACAGCAAGCCGTCCCTGTTCTCCTGCCCCTGGGGCCTCCGTCGGGCGGAGACGGCAAACCGAGGCCCCCAAGCTTGGAAACCCTGAAAGGAACAGAATAAATCCCAGAGCTCGGTTCCCTGGCCCTGGCCCAACCAATGCCCGAGCCAGTGGCTTGCTTTCTTTTCTATTTTAAAATTTTAAAAATTCGGCAAGGTTTTACAAAAGAAAATCAAAGGCTCTGTTTGCCAGGTTAATCAAATAGCTTCCCGTCCTTCTATCTAGTGTCTTTCCCCTCCCCCAGCTCTCCTCAAAGCCGATTAAGTTGATTAAAATAAAGCCCGCTGCATTTTAAATTCCATCTGGTTGGCATATCAGAGGGGTCCTTGTGGCAGCTTTTTGCGGGGGCAGGAGGGCGGACAGGGGACGGGGTCAGCAGTCTGCTGTGACGTGCTATCCAGACGGGGTGATCTGAGTCCCTGGCCTGGGTGATGGCAACGGGGTGGCCTAGCTGCCTGCCCTGAGACCTTACCAGGCTTCTCCTGGTTTCTGTGAGCCAAAGAGCCACTGCCATTTTACTTTGGGGGGGAGGCAGAAATGTGCCTAATGACTTCCCTCTCTTGCTGGCCTTCTAGGGCAAGAAAGACTCCTCCCTGTGGACCTGCCCCTTCCACTCACCACTCCAGCTGTTTTTTGTTATTCGAAATACAAGGCAGCTGGGGGACTTCGGTCTGGCCAAGATCAAGGTTCGGAATTACTGGACGGCTGATGGCGTAAGTAACAGGCGCTGGTTCCCCACTGGGCACTGGGTTGATGGAAGCGCTTAGCAGTTCGTCAATAGCCTGGTTCCTAAAGTTACAAAATGGATACACGGAGGCCTTGCTACCCTGTGTGCGCAGCAGTAGCCTGCTGGAGGTTCACACTGCATTCTCACAGTCCCCACAGAGCTTCGGGCTCTGGGGTTGGGAGGTGGTATGAGGGCCCCCCTTGGGGGAACTGGAAAAATACAAGCCGAGACTCAGTTTGACAGATAAGGAAACAGAGACACAGAGAGGTTATGTAACTTGCCCCAAGTCACACAGCCAGTCAGTGTGAGTGAGAGCGTGAACCCCTGCATTGGACTCCAGGCTTGTTCTCTTAGCCATCGCTTTTCAAATGTTAATTTGCAATGACTCATCTGCAGGATCTTGCTAAAAGGCAGGTTCTAATTCAGCAGGTCTGGGGCAGGGCCTGGGATTCTGTGGTCTAGTCAGCTCCCAGGTGCGCCAGTCTTTCTGTTTCTCTTAACCTCTGGCTGTTGTACCCCTCTGGTTCTATTGTTTATTTTTTTAAAAACTAGTCAAGTACAGTAATGAGAAGGGGCGATAGAATAGAAAAAGGAGTTAGATCTGTAACTGACTGTGATCAATGGAGAAACTTGCTACCTTTGGACCCACCCCCTCCAATTACAGGATCCATGCCCCCCTTTTTAACCTCACACTGTCTGCCCTGATGCTCCTGCCTGCGCCCACACCCTGTCCTTCCTTCTCTGGGCTGTTTTTCATGCACTCATAGTTCCATCAGAGAACTAAATATTGAGGAAGGACAGGAACTCACCTGGCCTATCTGCCCTCTTATGGTCGGCATAGGCGGAAAGAGTTGTACTTCCAAATCTGTAAAGGAAGCAGTAGTTCAAGTGAGACTATAAATTGGAACGGAGCCTCACCTTCAGTCTTGCTAGGGACATTAGGGTGTGGTGGGGACTACGGTAGACTGGCAAACCCGTGCCCTAGGGAAAGGGAAGCCACTCTAGGGTTGCTTTGTGGAATACCAGCCAGTTCTGCTAGCTCTTCCCAACATGCCCAGTGAGCTGGATATCTGAGTTTTGATATGAGCCTTCCTTATTTGTAAATGTCAGTAGCTAATTTAGGTTCTTTTTAAACCACCACACAATTCAAACAAAACTCGTCTTTGGGCTGGAACTAGCCTGCCCCAGACTGCGTGGAGTGTGGAGAAAGGATCCCACTTCAGGCTGGGAGAGATCAGGGAAGGTTCTTGAAGGAACACACACCTGAGCTGCAATGGCAAGAGACAGCAGCAGTCAGCCGAGGCAGGAAAGGAGACAGTGTGTCCTGGGTGGAGGCCCGGCTTGTTCACAGTCATGGAGGCGTGAAGGAACACACCCTCTTAATCGCTGTCACTTGCAGTGCGCCCAGCCCTCCAGTCTGTCTCCAGCAGCCACCAGGGAGATCCAATCACATGTCTCTGCTGCTTCAAACCCTCAGAGCGTCTCCTTGGCCCAGAGCATCAAGGTCAACCCCCTGAGTGTGACATCAGAGCCTCCTAATCCCCTCATGTCCGGCCCTGGCTCCCTCCTGTCAATATCTGGCCTTTGCACAGTGCCCTCCAAAATGCAGGCTGCCCTGGATTTCCACCCCTGACCATGATAGTGATAGCTTCATCCCTGCCTCCACATCCCTATCTCACTCAACTCAGAATGCCCGTCTCTGCCTCATATTCCTGGAAACCCAGACGTCACTTTCTCCAGGAAGCCAACCCTGCCCCCTGCCCCTTGCCCCCTGCCCCTTGCACATCTCTGGGACCTCATGAATGTGTTCCACCATCTCCTGTCCGGAATTTATGGCTGCTTTCCCAGGGCACCATGGACCCCTTGAGAGTAGGACCTGAGTCATCACCACCCCTGCTCTAGTGAAAGGAGAAATACATGGTTGGTGAATGAATGAATGAATGAATGAGCGCCTTTTCCCAATAATCCATAAGCAGTTGTATTATCCTTGTTGATATCTGGATGGGAGGATAGGTGAGGCTAGGTGGCTTGTAGGACACCACGGCTGGTTGGAGGCAGAGCTGGGAGCCTAGTCCTGGAGAGGCAGTCCTCCCTCTCCTTTCCTCCCTCCTTCCTGTCCTCCCTTCCTGAGCTTCTTCCCGCTAGTTCTGCCACCTACCAGCAATCCATCCACCTAGTGATCATATCCCAAGCGCCTGTCAGTTGCAAGGCACCTGGAATCTGAAAACCAACAGGCCAGGCAGCCCTGGCCGGCTGAGTGTATGCACAATGCTGCCCAGAGCTTTCTCTGATTTCTGATTTTGAGTTTTTTTTTTTGTTTTTTTTTTTTCTAAACATCTGAAGTTTACATTTGCAGAAAAGAAGTCCAAGCCACTGGGATCAGTGAGGAAATTTCTCTGGGCATGTTGGCCTCCCCTTCTCCACTTGCCAGCCCTGGCCTCTCGAGGGCACAGAAGCTGACCCCTTAGACCCTGGAATACAGCCCCAGCCCACGCAGCCACAGCACACTGCGAGCATCTGGGACCGGGTTCACTCATTCCTAGTCCCACTCAGTACTTCCTGGCAGGTGGCCGTCGGCACCGTGTTCTGGAATGGGCAGTGGAACAGTGGTGCTCGCCCGTGCCTGTGCCCTGCAGCTCAGCCCTGTCGAGGTATATATATCTCAGGGCAGGGAAAGCAGATTTTATGTGCAGGATTACAACAAAGGTCAGCTTCATCCCTTTTGCCCAGGGCCTGCTTTTCTTCTTTAACCTCTGCTCAGTCTTCCTTGTGCTTGTAGAATTGTTTAGAAAGGCACAGGGTATTAAGAATCCCGCAGGAGCATGGGGTGTCGTCGCGGGTGTTTGGGGAGCTGGCTGTTGGCTGTGGGGATTCGAGAGCCGAGGTCTTTCCACACCCAGGGTGGAGTGTGGATCTCTGCGGTTCCTGCCAGAGCATGGCTTATGTAACACACACCCGTCTGTTGCCAGAATTTACCAGGAGCAGGAAAGCGCAAACACATGCAGCTGCAGGTTGGTTTGATTTAATATTCTCCAGAGGATGCTATTACTGTGTGTTTTAGAGGAGATAAAATGAGAGTTTATAGGAAATATAACTTGGCCTGGTAGACATGGCTTGTTAATACAGTGTTTTGTGTATGGGAATCTGAAGGAGAAAAGTGAAATTCGGGAAGCTAATCCAACCCAGGCTTATTTAGAGTGGAAGAAAAGAAGGGACTAGAAAAAGGGAGCCTCTTTTATTGGAAAATGTGTGGCCTATAAAATCCTATGCTAGCATGTAGGGGCTCTGTTTCCCTCACTAGTTGATACTGTAAGTGTCAGCTGGCCCAGAGGAGAGGGATGGGAGAGGCAAAGTGAGGACGTGGAGGCTCACCGCCACCACGGCAGCGCGCAGAAGGCAGCTCACAGACGTCTCTACTTGTGACAGCTGTCATTTACTGAACGCCTCGGGTGTCAGGCACGCATGAGGCACCCCGTGGGCACTCAGTAAATATGTGATGCATGAACAAATAACCGAACAAATGAATCATCTCAATTAACCCCCAGTGATCCTATGAGGCAGGTGCTGGTGTTTCCCATCACACAGACGAAGATGCCAGAACTTAGGACAGTGAGATCCCACATAGCAAATAGACGGTGTCTCTTTGCCAACTCTGCCGGGAAACAGCTTGCTGGAGTGCTGTCCTGAGGAAGATCTGGAACCTTCTTTCTGGTTCATGGACGAAAGGGTGCGATGATTGATCGGCGACGTCTGCCGTGGTCTCAGGAGGATGTGATAATATGTGTGTCGCATCTTCGGGTGTTCCCCAGATGAAGCGACTTGCCCAGCTAGCAGGTTGTAAGAGACAAAGCCGGGGAGGGGGATTTGAGGTCCGCTTGTCTTTCTCTGGTTTTTCACGGCACTGCTTCTCCTGCAGAGTGGCATCTGCCGGGAGAAAGAAACCGATAGCCTCCCTTCTCTGGTAGGTGATAACTCACCCAGAAAGTGGCTTCCAGCAGCTCCCCATGGCCCAGCTGTTTGCCTTTATAACAGTCATATTAGTTATATGTGACAGGACAACTAGGCGCACAGTCCCCATCATCACCCACAGCATCACCCCGCACGTGCCGCCTACAGCCTGGTCACACCAGGGAGTAAGACAGCATCGAGCATCCAGGCAGGATGGGCACCCAGGTATAGATTATATTCAGAAAGGCACTCATTACGTTGTTTTTGAATAAATGAATGCTGCAGTGCATTTCCCCAGGGGCATATTTCTGTGACACGTCATGTGGCCTAGGCCAGGGGTCCCCAGCGCCCAGGCCACAGGCTGGTACCAGTCTGTTAGGACCAGGCCACACAGCAGGAGTTGAGGACCAGATGTGCGAGCATTGCCGCCTGAGCTCCGCCTCCTGTCAGATCAGCAGCGTGAGATTCTCATAGGCATGGGAACCCTGTTGGGACCTGCGTGTGGGAAGGATCTAGGTTGCATGCTCCTTATGAGAATCTAATGCCTGATGATCCGAGGGGGAACAGTTTCATCCTGAAACCATCCCCACCCCTCCCACCATCCACGGAAAAACTATCTTCCACAAAACCAGTCGCTGTGCCCTAAAGTCTGGGACCGCTGGCATAGGCCACCGCTGCTTGTAGAAATTTCCCTGATGATACAAACGTCCTGTACCTGCCCTGTAGGGTACGTAACCACCAGACACAGGTGGCCGTTGAGGACTTTGCAAGTAGCTAGTGCACTGAGACACTGACTGCGCTTTACGCTGTAATTCATTAATTTGAATTTGAAGTAGCCACACGTGGCTGGTGACTACATAGGGGACTGCATGAGTCTCAGTGCTGAGGGTGCAGTGGTGAACAAGTAGACAAGGCCTGTCCCTTCTGTTGGGGAGGGGACAGTAAACAAGGACACAACAAACAACATTTCAGGTCACACTGAGTATTCCGAAGACAATAAAACAGGATGGTGAATGAGGGCCATGGGGAGGAGGAGGC